ACTAGAACTGAACTAGAACTGAACTAGAACTGAATTAGAACTGAACTAGAACTGAACTAGAACTGAACTAAACTGAACTAGAACTGAACTAGAACTGAACTAGAACTGAACTAGAACTGAACTAGAACTGAACTAGAACTGAACTAGAACTGAACTAGAACTGAACTAGAACTGAACTAGAACTGAACTAGAACTGAACTAGAATGAACTAGAACTGAACTAGAACTGAACTAGAACTGAACTAGAACTGAACTAGAACTGAACTAGAACTGAACTAGAACTGAACTAGAACTGAACTAGAACTGAACTAGAACTGAACTAGAACTGAACTAGAACTGAACTAGAACTGAACTAGAACTGAACTAGAACTGAACTAGAACTGAACTAGAACTGAACTAGAACTGAACTAGAACTGAACTAGAACTGAACTAGAACTGAACTAGAACTGAACTAGAACTGAACTAGAACTGAACTAGAACTGAACTAGAACTGAACTAGAACTGAACTAGAACTGAACTAGAACTGAACTAGAACTGAACTAGAACTGAACTAGAACTGAACTAGAACTGAACTAGTACTGAACTACAGAACAGTTGATTAAAATTTTCTCCAAAGAAAGCATTTTTCAAATAATTTTTGAAATATTTTTTTAATATTCTCCTCCATAAGTATTTTCTAATTGACTGCAATTTTATTGAACTTTTGCTCAATTTTAGAACTTCCGCATCGTCTGTCATTAAGGTCGTGCCTACTTGCCTTACTTGAGTAAACATTTACGTTATACATGTTGTTAACATTAATTTTTCGAAATAAAGGGGGAATACAAAAAATATATTATTTGTATGTTACCATTATCTAATGCGGGGCATCCGCATTGCATACAACTCATAACCAGTGGGTATTAAAAAGTGATATTAACATTAACTTAAGGTATTGCTTAAGGTCACTGGTATTTAAGGTTACATACTGGATTTTATTTCTTTAAGTTTACTGTTAACATTATGTAAATCTATGAGTGAATGTGTAACACATTTTAGTTGTAGGTAATTGTTGTAATCTAAATGTGTCGTATGTTCTTAGGATATGGATGACTTAAGTAAATCTATTAGATATGCATATTATGAGAGGTAAAGGTTATACATTAATATTAAAATGTGTTGTGCACTTTGTAAGTGATTACATTTGAAATACTATCGATATAAAATATAACTAAATTTTTTTTACTTTTATTTCTTAACATTAAATTTAAGTTTGCTTAAATTTCTGTTTGTGACACAAATACATATGTATGTATGTAGATGCAACAATCTACACATAGTGTTTTAATTCTGTTACAACACTTTTACATCATATGCAATAATCAAACAGTGCGTATACGTAATTCAGTTATTTCAATTTTAATAAAGTATTATTGTTGTTGTATATTACTATGTGTATATGTATTACAGGAATACACTTATACACAAACACACACTTAGATTTCCATTTCCTTTATGTAATTCACAATTGAACACACACACAGTATGTGGTACAATAATTTATTGGACTTACATATACATTAGGGCGTCCCCTTCGTTAATAAAAAAAACATAAGATAATGATGAAATAAACGCTTCGTCCATTATAAGATATCATTTCTCAAAATTTGAATCCTGAGGTCAATATTTAGTAAGCTGGGCCAAAGAATAGACAGATCCTTTTATCAGATTTTTATAATTTTTTCATGCAAAGGAATGATTTCATATTCATAGGTCAGGACAAAAAGTTTGAGAACAATTAAAAAAATTGCATTTTTCTTCGCAAACATCAGTAACTTCCAATTGGCACCACCCTAATATGTATATGTATATATCATTATGTACACAGAAAAACTGAAAAACGATTTCAATTACCAAAACCTCGTTTTCAATTATTTATTTATTGAAGTTCAACCTATAACAAAAATTGTATATTCAATTACTACTTATAATTGATTTCGTATAAAAAATTTTTATTTTTTTATATTTTTGTTGTTGTTAAATACGTATTTGATTATACATTTTTATGATTCAAATACAAAATGAATTGAACCCTTTTAAAATTTTCGATTAATCGTTTAATTGAAAATTTTTAAAATTAATTTTTTCTGTGTACAAGTAAGTACTCAAATATCCATATAACATATTTATATAAAATGTTTATTGATTTGTTTGGAGAATTTGTGAGAGTGGGTAAACATACACGCATACACACTTAGTTACAAAGTAAAGTAAATGTACTATGAATACCTAGTATAGTATATGTACTTGGGTGTCACTTGAAGGTATTTAGACAGATATCTGAGCTGAGAACAAAACAAAACCTAACTAGAACTTACCTAAACTACAACTTATTTAAAAGTAAGCTGGAACTGCATTTTAAGGATAGATTTAGAAATCAAATTGGAATATAACTAAGTCTAAGATCAAGACTTCAAATCCCCTCTTAACATCAATTTACAAGACTCCCTTAATCTACACACAGAAAACAATCGTTCTTTTATACTCATATACTTAAGTTTAGTTCTAGGTTGTTGTTTATTGTTGTTCTTGGTTATATTGAATTAGTTAATGGTTGGATACGTATATGACTGGCTGACTGGCTGGTTTTATTGCTCGTCTTGCTGGTTGGCTTATGGCTTAGAAAAGAGTTTGAGTTGAGAGTGCGTTGCGTACAAGTGCAAGTACAAGTCTATTTATTAACTATATAAATAAACAATGTGTACAACGCGTGTTTTACACATGAATAAGTTTTAGTTTTCAAACATGTTTAACAATCAATATTATATTGGATTTTTTCTTCTCCACTCTATATCTCCCTCTTTATTAGCAGAATTTTTCCAACTAAATAGCTAACAGTTGTTGTTCTTAATTATTTTGTTGCTCCTTTAAATAAAAAGTTTGCCATGAAAATTGTTACACAATTAGAAACTCTTGGCTTTAAGTTAAATTGAGAGCAAAATTTTTAATAAACTTGATTTCTAAAGTTACACATTGTACAACATTCATGTGTGTAATTTATGTGAACCTTCTATGTGTGACCATTTTTTGATATATTACCGATTTTTTAACTCTTTAGTTCTTCCTTCACTGAAGTTTTGCTTAAGTTATGGTTCAGTTCTAGTTCAGTCTTCAGTTCTAGTTCAGTTCTAGTTCAGTTCTAGTTCAGTTCTAGTTCAGTTCTAGTTCAGTTCTAGTTCAGTTCTAGTTCAGTTCTAGTTCAGTTCTAGTTCAGTTCTAGTTCAGTTCTAGTTCAGTTCTAGTTCAGTTCTAGTTCAGTTCTAGTTCAGTTCTAGTTCAGTTCTAGTTCAGTTCTAGTTCAGTTCTAGTTCAGTTCTAGTTCAGTTCTAGTTCAGTTCTAGTTCTAGTTCAGTTCTAGTTCAGTTCTAGTTCAGTTCTAGTTCAGTTCTAGTTCAGTTCTAGTTCAGTTCTAGTTCAGTTCTAGTTCAGTTCTAGTTCAGTTCTAGTTCAGTTCTAGTTCAGTTCTAGTTCAGTTCTAGTTCAGTTCTAGTTCAGTTCTAGTTCAGTTCTAGTTCAGTTCTAGTTCAGTTCTAGTTCAGTTCTAGTTCAGTTCTAGTTCAGTTCTAGTTCAGTTCTAGTTCAGTTCTAGTTCAGTTCTAGTTCAGTTCTAGTTCAGTTCTAGTTCAGTTCTAGTTCAGTTCTAGTTCAGTTCAAGTTCAGTTCTAGTTCAGTTCTAGTTCAGTTCTAGTTCAGTTCTAGTTCAGTTCTAGTTCAGTTCTAGTTCAGTTCTAGTTCAGTTCTAGTTCAGTTCTAGTTCAGTTCTAGTTCAGTTCTAGTTCAGTTCTAGTTCAGTTCTAGTTCAGTTCTAGTTCAGTTCTAGTTCAGTTCTAGTTCAGTTCTAGTTCAGTTCTAGTTCAGTTCTAGTTCAGTTCTAGTTCAGTTCTAGTTCAGTTCTAGTTCAGTTCTAGTTCAGTTCTAGTTCAGTTCTAGTTCAGTTCTAGTTCAGTTCTAGTTCAGTTCTAGTTCAGTTCTAGTTCAGTTCTAGTTCAGTTCTAGTTCAGTTCTAGTTCAGTTCTAGTTCAGTTCTAGTTCAGTTCTAGTTAGTTCTAGTTCAGTCTAGTTCAGTTCTAGTTCAGTTCTAGTTCAGTTCTAGTTCAGTTCTAGTTCAGTTCTAGTTCAGTTCTAGTTCAGTTCTAGTTCAGTTCTAGTTCAGTTCTAGTTCAGTTCTAGTTCAGTTCTAGTTAGTTCTAGTTCAGTTCTAGTTCAGTTCTAGTTCAGTTCTAGTTCAGTTCTAGTTCAGTTTTAGTTCAGTTCTAGTTCAGTTCTAGTTCAGTTCAGTTCAGTTCTAGTTCAGTTCTAGTTCAGTTCTAGTTCAGTTCTAGTTCAGTTCTAGTTCAGTTCTAGTTCAGTTCTAGTTCAGTTCTAGTTCAGTTCTAGTTCAGTTCTAGTTCTGTTCTAGTTCTGTTCTAGTTCTGTTCTAGTTCTGTTCTAGTTCAGTTCTAGTTCAGTTCTAGTTTAGTTCGAGTTCAATCTTTACGATGAATTCTCTACTTTCAATATAATGAATTTTTCTTAAAGAACAAGCGTAATTCCGACTCTTGTTCTTATTATCAAAAGTACCACAGTACCCCATCCATTTTCCATTATTTTAATTTCAATTAATTCGAAATCAATTTTAATATTAATCCCAAACTATAATCGAAAACCACTGTGCACTGTTTGTAACTAAAAGCGGTTAGAATGGGAAAAAAGCAACATATTACTTTGTGTTGTATTTCGTTACATGTTTCTTTAAGTGAAATAATCATTTAATTAAAACCCTAAGGAGCCAAATTCAATACGATATATACAGTTGTTGCTTACATTTGACACCCAGTGTGTGTCTGGGTCTAAGTAAAATGGGAAAAAGAGAAACATGTGTCTTGAATTTAAAAACTCATAATACTAAATTAGATTAACATTAAAGCTTTTAGCAACAACGTTTGTCTTAGTAACAATATTTTTTTCTCTCTTTATTTACAGCAAAAATCCATCTGTAACATAAAGGCAATAATGAATTGAAAATTCATGTTGAAATTTTCAACATAAACAAAAGTTGTTTTAAAAAGAAGACAATAGCAAGTAATAGATAACAAATCTATAAAAAAGCAAAACAAAATCATCAATTATGGCCGAACAACAGAAGCTATCGTTGTGTCCACGTTTAGTGGACTATTTGGCAATTGTGGGTGCTCGAACAACACCACCAATACACAAGGGATTACCAGGAAATAAGACACCACCTGTACAAGTAAGTATTACAAATTACTTAGTAGACAAAAAAGGAAACAAAAAATCATGTCCGTTTGGTAGTCTTTGAGGGCTGCAGAGATTACAAATAGAACAACAATGGTGCACTGAAATAATATGTTTAATATAAAACCATTTATAAAATTAAAGGTCATTTTAAAGGTTATGACACTAAATCACTTTTAATTGAACTATAAGTTACCTGAAATTAGGTCTGAAATATAACTATACTAGAACTGAACTAGAACTTGAACTGAACTAGAATTGATATAAAACTGGAACTGAACTAGAACTGAACTAGAACTGAACTAGAACTGAACTAGAACTGAACTAGAACTGAACTAGAACTGAACTAGAACTGAACTAGAACTGAACTAGAACTGAACTAGAACTGAACTAGAACTGAACTAGAACTGAACTAGAACTGAACTAGAACTGAACTAGGACTGAACTAAAACTGAACTAAAACTGAACTAAAACTGAACTAGAACTGAACTAGAACTGAACTAGAACTGAACTAGAACTGAACTAGAACTGAACTAGAACTGAACTAGAACTGAACTAGAACTGAACTAGAACTGAACTAGAACTGAACTAGAACTGAACTAGAACTGAACTAGAACTGAACTAGAACTGAACTAGAACTGAACTAGAACTGAACTAGAACTGAACTAGAACTAGAACTGAACTAGAACTGAACTAGAACTAGAACTGAACTAGAACTGAACTAGAACTGAACTAGAACTGAACTAGAACTGAACTAGAATTGAACTAGAACTGAACTAGAACTGAACTAGAACTGAACTAGAACTGAACTAGAACTGAACTAGAACTGAACTAGAACTGAACTAAAACTGAACTAGAACGGAACTAAAACTGAACTAGAACTGAACTAGAACTGAACTAGGACTGAACTAGAACTGAACTAGAACTGAACTAGAATTGAACTAGAACTGAACTAGAACTGAACTAGAACTGAACTAGAATTGAACTAGAACTGAACTAGAACTGAACTAGAACTGAACTAGAACTGAACTAGAACTGAACTAGAACTGAACTAGAACTGAACTAAAACTGAACTAGAACGGAACTAAAACTGAACTAGAACTGAACTAGAACTGAACTAGAACTGAACTAGAACTGAACTAGAACTGAACTAGAACTGAACTAGAACTGAACTAGAACTGAACTAGAACTGAACTAGAACTGAACTAGAACTGAACTAGAACTGAACTAGAACTGAACTAGAACTGAACTAGAACTGAACTAGGACTGAACTAAAACTGAACTAAAACTGAACTAAAACTGAACTAAAACTGAACTAGAACTGAGCTAGAACTGAACTAGAACTGAACTAGAACTGAACTAGAACTGAACTAGAACTGAACTAGAACTGAACTAGAACTGAACTAGAACTGAACTAGAACTAGAACTAGAACTGAACTAGAACTGAACTAGAACTAGAACTGAACTAGAACTGAACTAGAACTGAACTAGAATTGAACTAGAACTGAACTAGAACTGAACTAGAACTGAACTAGAACTGAACTAGAACTGAACTAGAACTGAACTAGAACTGAACTAGAACTGAACTAGAACTGAACTAGAACTGAACTAAAACTGAACTAGAACGGAACTAAAACTGAACTAGAACTGAACTAGAACTGAACTAGAACTGAACTAGGACTGAACTAGAACTGAACTAGAACTAAACAATAACTTTTTATTTAACTTAAAATATTTCAAAAATATCTCACATCAAATTCTATCTCTTTTCTAGATCCCCGAACTTTTAAGACGTTATCCACCCTCGGATCATGCCGATTTTCCCTTACCTCTCGATATGGTATATTTTTGTCAACCCGAAGGTTGTACCAGTGTTGGTCCTCGAAGAACTGGCTCAGCCATTCGAGATATGACATCATTTGTATTCGCCTTAACCGATAAAGATTCCGGAAAGACGCGATACGGTATATGTGTTAATTTCTATAGACCCGTAGAGAAACATACGCCCAATGTGGAGAAAGCCCAAACTCACAACACACCAGCGACAGCCCAAAGTACACGGGGTCGTAGAAGTTCGGCATTTCGCCGAGAATCATGGCGAAAAAGTATGGAGCGAAGTTCAGATTCGGCATTTAGTAGGCAAGTAGAGATTAAGATTAAAAACAAAATGCTTAAGCTTAATTTTGAGTTTTTCTTTTTAAATTTTGAGTTGTAGTCGTAGTATTTAGATAATTTTTGGGTTACGCTAAAATGCCTTTAAAGTACAATTGATATAATTCTCTTAATAGTTACGGCCTTCTAACTTCTTCTAGCGACTACAGAAGTAACGTCGCACCAAGTGATTCTGATCGTGAAATGACTTCTCGTAGAGATTCCGATACCCAACATCATGTATCACATCATGGTCACAATATGCAACAGGTGCCGAAATTGGGTCTAATGGCACCTTCAGCTGATTCCGAATCGGGTGGCAGTCATTCACCCTCACCGCGGGCCTCTAGGAAACGTACAAAATTAAGAAATCAATCATTGACTTCATTGTGCATAATATCACATCATCCTTTCTTCACCACATTTCGTGAATGTTTATTTATATTGAAGAAGTTAATAGATGCCTGTAATGAATCCTCCTCACCCAAGAGGGTGGGGGCATCACAGAAAAATAATCGAGATAATGTGTGGACCGTATTAACGGGTCATGCTAGTGAGGCGACTTCTTCTATAGTGCTACATGATGTTAAAGAAATTGAAACCTGGATATTGAGATTGTTATCCACACCGGTACCAGTGCCGGGTTCAACAAGAGTTGAGGTGTGTGTTGGAAATTTTTTGTAAAAATTCAAATTTGTTTTATTTTATATATAATTTTTCTTAGGTGGAGGTACTATCTCCCACAGTCCATGAACCTTTACTGTTCGCTTTGCCCGATCATACTAGATTTTCCTTAGTTGACTTTCCTTTACATTTGCCTTTGGAGTTGTTGGGCGTAGAGACCTGCTTAAAGGTTTGGACTTTAATTATGTTGGAGAACAAGGTGTTGTTTCAATCTCGTGACTATAATGCACTCTCCATGTCGGTAATGGCGTTTGTCACAATGTTATATCCTTTGGAATATATGTTTCCGGTGATACCGCTACTGCCCACATGTTTGAGTTGTGCTGAACAATTGCTGTTGGCTCCCACACCGTTTGTTATTGGTGTACCGGCCACATTTTTAATGTATAAAAAGAATTTCCGGTTGGTATTCCATAAACTATAGAAATAAATATTTCCTATTAACATTTAAATATCTACAGCTTGCCCGATGATATTTGGGTGGTGGATTTGGATTCTACAAAACTAACTCCTCCTACTGGCGGCTATGATGAAATACCTCCGCTTCCCGAACCAGAAGGCACAGTTTTGAAAAATCATTTGAAACAGGTATGTGAACGCAAAACTTTTGTATTTTGAAATAGATTTTAAAAATATATATTTTTAAAGAAATATTGGCTAAAGCTTTTCTTTTTAATTAAAAATTTTTTCCAAATTTAATTCGATTAAAAAATAATTGTTAAGAAAACTTACACTTAAATTGTAAATTTCAAACATAAATGTTTTCTCTAACTCTCTCGACAACAAAAAGCTTTCAGTGTTACATCTAAAACTTTCTCTCTCTATACTTAAGTTATACGAATATAAACATTCATTTTCTCATTGTCATTATTGTTTCGAAAAATTCATTAATAACTCTCAGGAGTTTTAATATTTTGTACAGTATTTTTTTATAAAAAGCACTTGAATTATGTTAAATATAATTTACCAATTATTTTTGGTTATTTTACCTCTTCTAAAACTTCTTATTGCTTTATTTTCTTTCAAATTATTATTAAATATCATGCTCTCTCTTTCTACTTTTTAACGATAACTAACAACAACTACATTGTCATCATTTTAAACAAAAAATATATTCAAATCAATGAAATACTTTCGTTCATCTTATAATAAAAAAAATATCTAAAAACACAGGCTATGCAACTTATGGATGAAGCTGGACTTGGTGTAAATATTTTATTTGATTTTCTTTCTAGTTTTCATTTAACTTTTTTGCCCTCATATCTAAATGTTTAAAAGTTTAGTTGGCATGTTTTTTAAGTTTTATATATAAATATATTTAAAAGTTTATGTTAATTAGCTTAATTATTTAAAATTATTTGTAGCAGCTTAATTATTTTATGTTTAAAATTTAATTTTACTAACCTAATACTTTAAAAATCGCAGAGGAAAGGTCCTTAATCTACGATCACTTTTAAAAGATTTAAACTATGTTCCTAAGATCCAAACGAACAAATTACATTATTCTCGCTTAATAGATTGTATAATGTTGTTCGGTTCAATTTTCAATATTAAATACCCTAAATCAAAAGAAAATGTGTGTGAAATTTCAGCCCACTCTTTAGGCCTTTTTGTGTCTTCAACAGAAACGCTCACATACGGACAACAGTCCCAGTTATAGAAGATCCCTTTAATGAGATCAATGATCAGTTATGAGCAAATCAGGGAAAACTTTGGACTGCCAATTATATACTGTTATCATAATATGTATATTAATTAATCGTTATTAATTAATGAAATGTGTGTTTTTAAGTGATTTTCGGAAATGGACCTTGATCAATAATAGACTAATCCGGAAAATATCCTAAATGATTTATACATAAATATGCAAAACCTTGTTAATGGTGAATTTAATATCGATACTTTTAGTTATTAATGAATTATGTGTGTTTCACATACTTTCGGAAGAGGACCTTATATGGGAGCTACGATCAATAATACAGCAATCTGAAAAAATTCCTGAAACGATTTGTTTTTTGACAAATATCATCTCAATTATGTAATTTTGAGCTTTTAAATAATTTTCAGAAGTGGACCTTTTATAGGAGCTACGAAATATAATGGACCGATTCAGATCTAGATTGGTGATATGCTTTCTGTTGATGTTAGATTTATATGAATACAATTTTGATGTAATTGACGATAAATCTAATTTGCCGGTATATTTATAGTTGTATGGGGACTGTAGGAAATTTTAACCTATTTTTTGTAATTATCAGCTCTAGTTTCTGAAAACACTATTGGAATATGGAGTTAAAAATATCTAATTTTTCGGGGTTCTCTGAAATTATTACTCATTACTTTTTACGTAGTGGACCGATTTGAGTGATTTTTAATACCAATCCGCTGAGAACAATACTGAATTTTTTTGATAAATTTCATTCATTTCTGTTGCTTTCATAGATAAATCGACTAAGAATTTCCTAAGGACCCGGAAAATACATACAATATAATTTGTAGAGTTGGTAGAGGGTATAATAAACTAGTTAAAGTTGATTAAAAATTCCACTTTTTCCCGGTAAATTTAAGATCGCATTTATTCAGAAGGTCAAATGGCAGAGAAATTATTTCGACCTCTTTTTTTGATTATTCCTTTTATAATAATCATTGTAAAGGAATAGAGACACCTATAATTGATTAGAATATAATACTCCAAAAACAGTCCCACCCAAAATTTCGGAAATCTCGTAAACCATTGTGATTCCTGAGAGGCGAAACCTTGAGATCATACATGATATGATTTGAATGATAAATAAGCCTTGCATAAGTTAGTCAGAGTGAGGATCTTTCTTTAAGTGTTTCTTGGAAACAACCCTCTCTCTCTCTCTACCTTAGAAAAATATACACAAAGTTTTACTAATTATTGCATGAATTTTTATTTCTTAAGCTTTTTATGATTTTTAATTTCCAAAGCTTTTTTACAATTTAAGTTCCAAAGCACCACAATTGTACTAATAACAGTCATCAAATATCAAATTCATAATCAAAATATTAAGAAAAATATAGATCATAACTAAAAAAGCATAAATCATACATGACGACTGTTATCACTACATGTTGTACATTTGTAAAATCCTTTCAAAAAAAATCATACTACTTCCCACATTCTATATATGTAAAGAAATAACAATTTGGTTACAAAATACCAAACCTCTAACAAAAGTTTTCAGTTTAAGAAAATTATTCAAAAATTTCCCAATTAATGAATATTTTCAAATCAAATAGGCTTTAAGTTCCATGACTGCTTCAAATCAAGCAATATCAACACAACAACTAATGCCCTCGGTAAGGGATAGTTTAACAGAGCCCACTTTATTGGGGTAAGTTAAAGGGATTTGAAAGAAAACTTTATAAATCTCAAATTAAAATTATTATCTTTTTTATATAGGGTCTCACAGGCCAGATTACCCTTACAGTCACCCTCTCAATCGGCTTATACTAGTCAAAGAAATTCGGTGTCTACTCAGGGAGCCATGTCACGACAGCCCAGTCCCATGAATTCACCGGCCTTAAATCCTTTTATATATGGCACCGATGTCGATTCGGTAGATGTGGCCACCAGAGTAGCCATGGTAAGTTTTAGAGTTTGTTTTAAAAATAAACTATTACATTTATTTGCCCTTTTTGTTCAGGTGCGTTTCTTTAACTCCCAAAATACTTTGGCCAACTTTGCTGAACACACTCGTACGCTACGCTTATATCCTCGTCCTGTGGTGGCCTTTCAAATTAATAGCTTTTTACGCTCACGACCTCGCGCTTCATCGTTCCTCAATCAGTTTGCCAAGACTCAGGCTGTAGAATTTTTAGCTGAATGGTCTCTGACACCCACAAATGTAGCCTTTCTTAGAGTACAAACTGGTGTTATGGATCCTTTACAAGTTGGCGATAAACCCAAATGGTTTGCTCATGGTTTAACACCTATACGTTTTTCCGTTTGGGATGATGGCAGTTCCTTAAATGGTGCTTTACGTTCACTCAAACAATTGGAATGTGCTGCCACCGATGAGAGTGGTTCTGATTCCGAGGGGGCCGATAGTTCGAGTTCTTCTTATTCCTCTTTGAGTGATTTTGTTTCGGAAATGGTTTCATCTGATCTTTCGCCTAGTTTACATGATGTTTTTGGCTCACACAATCGTCCTCATAATGTTCCTCAGACATTGTCTTCTAATTTAGATCCAGCATTGGTGCATCCTCCTAGTAAGCTACAATATCCCGAGGGTATGGTGGAACAAATGTCTTCCAAAGAGGATGAAGATGATCGTCCAGAGTCGCCCATGTCATCAGCCTCATCTAGTCGTTCCGACTTGTCCTCGCCTAGTTTTAATCGTGATTCGGAATTTGATTTTCCCGCCAAACCATTTGAGTTGGCTGCACCAGTGGCTCAAAGACTAGATGCCACCATTAAGGCGGCCAGTTTGGAACAGGAATCGGAAACTAATTCTAATATAACAATTACCGCACCTCAAGGTCATCAGAGGACGCCGAGAGATCAAGAAAATCGGCATGTAACGGAAAAGAAAATACCGGTAAGTTTTTGAAACAGAATTCACTTCTAAACTCTTGCTGTCATATAACTTTTCTCACAAATTTAGCCTCCCATTACGCCCGTTAAACAGCCCAGTGTCACTAATATCTTGGCTCGTACTGGTAGCTCTGGTTCCAGTTCCAGCAGCCCAGGACGTCAATCCTCACAGTCCTCACTATTTGAAAATATTGCTTCACATGCCAAGGATTTAGTAAGAGAAACTACCCGACAAAGTAGCCAGGAGGGCATATTGGCTCACATGGACAAGGTAAGTGTTTCCCCACTTTCTCCAAAAAAAATAATGTCAACTAAATAAATGTTGTGTTGATGTTTTTTTAAGTTTGATCTTAAAAATTTAATTTAAATATTTTCTTTAAAACATTATGAAAAAACCCCTCTTTTTAAACAAAAACACTTATTACACTGTAAACTTAAATACTTTAAAAAAAAACTATGTTTAAAATCAAACAAATCAATAAATATTTTAGCAATCTTTGGATGAAGATATTGATGACAAAATGCGTCATACATTCGAAAAGGTTTGTAATAGTGTTGCCAATCTTTGCTGAACTACTGTTAATACCCTGAATATATATGTATTTAATAAACTATAATCCAACGGGGTTTCTTAACAAATTATATATTTTAGTTGCTATTTAAAACACTTTTAGTAGTTTTTATATTTATTAAAAAAATAAACAATTGGTTCAAGCAAAATTTAACACTTTAAATTTATGTTCGTTTTTTTTTTTTTTGGTAAAATTAAACAATGCTCCATTAAATGTAGCAAGATCTCTTTTAAAGAATTGAGTATTTATGAAAAATGGAGCCTTTAAATTAAATTATATGATACTGATCTTAAATCGGCTGAAGATCCTTATTAAAATCTGTGATCTCTTAAATCTTCCATAAAATACGTAAACAAAAAAATCGATGATCACTTTAATTTTCAAAACAAAATGTTTTTATAAAATACCTAAAATCAGCAGTTGATCCCTAATAATGTCAGTGATCATTTCAATTACACATCAAAATAAAATTTTTGTATGGAAATCTTATAATTGGCTGTAGATCCTTAATAAAATCTGTGATCACTTCAATTTTTCATTACAATTCAATTATTGTACGATAAACCTAAAATCGGCTGTAGATCGTTAATAAAATCTGCGATCACTTTAGTTTCTCATCATAATTAAATTCATGTATGAAATACCAAAAATACTTAACGAAATCTGTGATCACTTTAACTTAAATGATCCTTATTAAAATCTGTGATCTCTTAAATTTTCCATAAAATACGTAAACAAAAAAATCGATGATCACTTTAATTTTCAAAACAAAATGTTTTTATAAAATATCTAAAATCAGCAGTTGATCCCTAATAATGTCAGTGATCATTTCAATTACACATCAAAATAAAATTTTTGTATGGAAATCTTATAATTGGCTGTAGATCCTTAATAAAATCTGTGATCACTTCAATTTTTCATTACAATTCAATTATTGTACGATAAACCTAAAATCGGCTGTAGATCGTTAATAAAATCTGCGATCACTTTAGTTTCTCATCATAATTAAATTCATGTATGAAATACCAAAAATACTTAACGAAATCTGTGATCACTTTAACTTAAATGTTTGTATGAAATACCCAAAATCGGCTTTGGATCCTTAATAAAGTTTGTGATCACTTCAATTTATCATCTAAATTCAATTATTTTATAATAAACCTAAAATCGGCTGTAGATCGTTAATAAAATATGTGATCACTTCACTCCTTATAAATCATGAAATACTTAAAATCAGCCGTAGATCCTTAAGAAAATCTTTGATCATTCAACTTAAATTTTTGTAAGAAATACCTAAAATCGACTGTAGATCCTTAATAAAGTGTATGATCACCTCAATTTAAATAAACCCAAAAATCGGCTGTAGATCGGTAATAAAATCTGCGATCACTTTAGTTTCTCATCATAATTCAAATATTGTATGGAAGACCTAAAAACTGCTGTATATCCTAAACAAAATCTTTGATCACTTCTATTTTTCATTAAATCCTAAAATCGGCAGTAGATCCTTAACAACATGATCACGTAGTTTTCCCCATCAACATACAATTTTAATATGAAATACCTAAAATCATCTAAAATAAAGTCTGTAATCTTATGAGAAACTCAAAATCGACTAAAGAACCTCCAGAACCCTGCAAAAATTATTGGAGTACATAGTCCATTTAGGTAATCCAAAAACTACACGTCTGTAAACATTATTGGAGTACATGATCCATATAGTAGTCCTACGTAATGCAAGCATGGATCATGTTTATTATTTTTGAAAACAAAGTGGTCCATAGCCTACATATTGCGGATCATGTATTCCCATAATTTCAGCAAGGGACTAGTTTTGGGATTACTCCAATGTAATGTATTGATGGATTACGTGATCCTCACCTAGGACATCACAATGTTAAATGGAGTATACTTTTTCCATATCTGTAGATTAGTTTTGGACCAGTTCTAGTCCTTTAGGAGTACGCGTTTGCGGAGTAGTCTCAATTTTTGCAGGGGAACTCCTCAAATAAGAAAATTTAAAAAATTTGTGATCGAATTTTTATCAATAATGTCTTCTATGCATTCATATCTCTGATTAATTTTTCAAAAATTTTATGTTTGAATTGTGTTTTTAATTTAAGGTTGAAACTGACTCCAGCGAGGAAGATTCTTCTGAAAAGGTTAACGAAATTTACTTAAAAGATATGCAATAGTTAGAAGAATTCATCTACGATCTCTCATAAATAGTTTAGGTTCAAATAAATGGTTTCTTAGAGATACATTTAAGATGTAGTATTTATCACTAACTTCATGTTCATAGATAGGAGGGCGACTTTACTAAGGAAGATCACTAAGAAGTTTCACTGATATTTGGATTTGTTAGATATTCTAACATCTTAGATGTTGAAGCATTTATAAAATTAGAAATTTAATTAGAAAACAAAATTATTGTTAATTTTAATGTTATTTTTTGATAAATCTCATTTACACCTTTATACACTATCCAAAAAAGTATTCGACACAAAATTACACTTTCCTCTTACCTTCCCTGTTTAAACATTAAGAGTCCTGTTAAGATATCAAAGAGATTACAGATCAAATTCATTAATCGCTTAAAGATCAAATGATTTAAAAATTAATCCCTTTATTATAAGATCGTTAACGATCGGTTCTCAAAAAGTTGTGACGAAAATAAAACTGTAGCAAAAATCTCTTTGCAATAGGCGATCGATCGACAACGATCGGTTGCCACTGATAATACATTTTCTCTATGGATGATCGATCATATTGTAACTGAACATTGTTTCCATTGAAATATAAAATCACATGACTTTTCCATTACATTTATGTATGTATATGATTTGCCATTATAATCCCATATCGATCATGTTGCGATCATCCATATATTGATATCTTAACAGACCCTTTAAGAAAATTAAAATTTTTATTTTGTTAATTCACTATTTTTTATTCTTTAAGCACTTTGTACTGAGTAGTTAGCGTTACAATATCCCAATCAATTTAGAACCGCAATTATATACAAAATGTTTAAAAAACTAAAATCTCAAAACGTCTCGCAGCTTACATTGCATGCTAAGAAAGCAGCCGGGGAAGCATCCAAGCAGGCTTTAGAAGTCTCTAAGCAGGCGGCTGGAGTTAGTAAGAATACCTTTGAGGATTTAAGTTATGTGGGTAAATCAACCTTGGGAGATATAACGAAAAAAGCCAAGGAAGAAGCCACTAAAAAGGGTCTTATCAAAGTAGATGAAAAAGCAGAACCACCAAGTCCAGGAGCAGGCAATCAATTGGCTACACAGAAACAATTACAAAACAGTGGAACGGGTTCGGGAAATTTCTTTTCTAATATAGGCAGTGATTTCAATGGTTTGGCCTCCTCAACTTCCACCATGTTTTCGGGAATGTTTGGAAAGAGTAAGTTATTAACAAGGGATCAATTTATATATACATGCCTTATATATATTTTCGTTTGATCTTATAGAAAACCAACAAAAACAACCCCAAGTCTCAGCACAACAAACTATGGGTCCTAAATCAAAGTCAGGTTTGGGTTTCGATCCCTTCCCAGGACGTAAAGGTTTAGTAGAAAGAACACCTTTAATAAAACATGCTGGACCGCATAAAACCCAAGAAGAAATAACAAGACAACAAAATCAGGAAAGATCACATAGTAATGCTGAAAATCAGGCCTTTCTAAAAGACATGACAAATCAGGTATTGGCCGGTGAAGGTATAGGCTGGTTGAAAATGAATCGTTTTAAGAAACTAATGGAAGATGAATCCTATCGCACTTTGGTCTTAAGTAAATTAAATAAAACTTTGGATAAGAAAATAGCCCCAGATGATCATATAGATGATATGGTAGGTATCCCAAAATAAAAGAAAAAATTCCTTCATTTATTTGTTTCTCTTACATAAAGTGTGTCACCAAACCGGTATGGAAGGGTATGCTGAAATGTCTACAGGCCATTACTTCCGGCCTGGAGGTTACTTTCTCTAATTTTGGTTTGGGTGGCACAGCCTCCGTTTTTCAAATGATGGAAATTGCTCATACCCATTACTGGAGTAAAGAACTCAATGATGCTAGTGATATGTCTTCTAGTTTACTCTCTAGCCATGCCACCAGTCCTATGGGTAGTAGGGAAAATTTACGCTCCCCCTCTAGTCCTAATGGTTCACACTCCGGTCTGGGCAGTGAATGGGCTTCACCGCAAGAATCTCGTAAAAGTTCTACTCATACCGATAGATCGGGACCAACACAAGTTGCTGGCAATACTGGTCCCTCTAGACGTCTATCCACAGCCGATAGTCAAGATGGCCAATCTACCACAGAAATGTTTAAGGATATGTTGGCTCAGAAGCGATCGGCTTTGTTGAGTAAATTGACTTCATTTGACTCAGATGTAAGTATTGAAATTATGTCTTTATTTGTGTATATTTTTCAGAATATCTTAAAATGCTTATATCCCAGTGTATCATTGAAGTAATTATCTAAATGTATATAATATTAATATATAGTAAACATATAAAATACAGTGGAGTTAAATGCGAGAAAAGTTGAAAACTTCTGCAGCAGCAGATAAAATATATGTATATATAAAAAGTGATAAATATATGATAACCTTTACTGTTTCGATATGCACAACTTTTAAATGTATCGATATAAACTTTGAAGAGTTATATATGTATCAATAATGTGACCATCAGTGTATAAATTACTCGAAATACTATTATTTTTGGATCAGACGAAGTCTTGAAAATGGCTTGGTTTCAGGATCATATATACTTCATCGAATAACCCTACGAGATATTAAATATGTAGGACTGTAGACCGAACGATTCGAAAATCATAACTAAAACTGGTAACATAATATCAAGAGTCTATTTGTCAATTAACAGATCGAACGACCTCAATTGATAACCATAACCCGAAAGACATTCTTATTGTATATACTAGTCACCTTAGTTGATCCCTATTTTCGATTTGCAGGACATATATTAAAGTCAGAACGATTAGGGAATAGATACTTAAACCGATAACATAATATCAATAAGAGTCTCTTCGTAATTATATATTACTTACATCGGCTACTACAACTAAAATCCCTTTTTTGCTAACTAGAAAGTTAATATCTAGCCAAAGTAATCATTAGTATCATTTATTCTTCGTTCGTCTATAATAAATCC